AACTTTAATTTAGAATTTAAAAAAATATCTACGCTGATTACTATAATAAATAATATTTTCAACATAGAATTAAACAAGTTTATTGCAGTTATTTAAAAATAAAATAGAAAAACAACATTTAATTAACTAAAACTTTACACCATACAATTTAATTATTATTACACGACACGATAATTTAAATTACCTATGATTTTTGCAAACTGACATAACCTTGTATGTCCAATTTAATTTATTACTATGTTTTATTAAATCAATTTAGGTTTTAAAGTTACGTGCGCTGAGAATGATAATTTTAAAAATAAAATTATATCAATTTAGATAATTTAATTTACTTGTTTTTATGTACACGAACTTCTATATATCGAAAATCAAACGTTCATACAAAGTTCTATCGTCGGACACAACTTTAATTCAGCTATATTGTCTATTGACATGTGACCATTTTTAATAATTGATCAATTGTTCGAGGCGTATTTGAATTATATTAACGAAACGAGCTATCCAAAATGTTTTGTTATAAAAAACACAACACAGTACAGTCCTCTGCATAATTATGTATTCACAATACAAACTTGTGTAGGACTTCGGTTTCAGAAATATACAAGCATTTATTCGTCAATAAATCTATACTCTAGGCTAATATAATAAAGCGTAAACACACATTACTTTGTGGCGTAGGATATCAAAACTCATAGCATATTTTTGAATTATTCTTTCTTTAATAAAAAGCCCTACACTTACGACACGCTTTAGGCTATATAAGCTTCATGTGGAAAAGGGACTATATACTACAAGCTACCAACATTAAGGAAGCAAGTTTGCATTGATTTGTCATCATGTCATGTAATTTTGACATTTGCAATTGATAATTTGACACATGTAAACAATAAAATTTAAATTTTCATAATTATATGCGGATGAAGTCGCACGGGAACAGCTAGTGCTTGTATATTTCTGAAACGATATAAGCATACATGTTTTGGAAAGAGAACTTTCTGTAGTTTAATAAATGTATCGATATTTATGCAGGTGACTGTACATGTACGCAGTTCTCCAGACCTAGCAAAACTAAAAGTTCACAATGTTGATATCAGTAAGAACTATTCGTCTATTCATTTGTTTCCTTGAGCGGACACACAACGTTAACTAAACTATCGCACAACTGTTGTGCGATTGTCGATTGTTTCGCAGCCAATTCTGTTTAGCACAACTAAAAATCGAGGAGTGCGCGCACCTCAATATAAGCTTATAGGAATCAACGAGACTAAGGGTCTGTCCTACCAAATTGTAAATTGTCTAACAATCCAACGTGTAAATTATGTTATGGAAATATCGGATTATGTTCCGTTATATGACAGTGACGTAATTTTTAAGCTATTTAACCCTCTATCAGCTAGTGGTAGGACAAGGCCCTAAACAGTGAGATAGTCTAGTTTTAGGTGTGCGCACGCTCTAAAAGTAAAGAATCTCGTTTCCCCCAATGTAATCGCGCAAACGAAATCACGTTAGGTTCGGAGCTCGTGGGAGGGGGGGACGTAATCGATAAACAAGTGTAGGGAACTATTGCCTGCCGATACCATTATAAAACAATCAAATATCCATTCAAGATAAATGTAAAAGGTTAATTTATGAAAAATATTAACCAAATTTACTGCCACAGTAATTTTGTGCTTAGGTATTTAAGGAGCTACCTACAGTACTAGACATGCCTTTTTATGTACAACTAGCTGTTCCCGTGCGGCTTCATCCGCATGAAATTATGAAAATTATATTTTATTGTTTACATTTGTCAAATTATAAATAGCAAATGTCAAACTAACATGACAAACCTCGGCAATCTTGCTTCCTTGATGTTGGCAGCAACTTATGGTCTCTTTCTCACATTAGGGTTTTTATCCAAAATTTACCCTCTAAGTTTAACGGCGGTAAAATAAATAGCCTAAAGTCTGACCGTAAATATAGGGCGTTAAATTAAAAAAAAGAATTATTAAAAAATATGCTGTAATTGCTGACATCTTAGGCAACAAAGAAGTGTGTGTTTACGCTTTATTATAATAGTACAGTATAGATTACTAAATCTACACTTAAGCTTTCCTTAGTGGCCAAAAAACTCAATGCGATAATGGAACATATTTGATCGATGACGAAAATTATGGTAGATTTTACCGGTATTAAGGGCGGTGGCCTTGTATCTGTCACCTGAAAATCGTGTATTCCGCCAGTTTGTAATTTACTTAGATAAAGTAAATTGGCAGCATATCGACACTCTTAACTGTCTGCTGTGAGATTCTGTGCTAAAACCTGGCTAGAACAACCGATAAATTTTTGCATTTACAAATTTCTAAAATATAAATTATCAGTTGGTAGATTCGTTTGTTAAAACAATCCTTGGTAACTTACAAACAGGCGGTTTACAAAATTTGCAGGTAACATCCATTAGCTACTCGTTAATTTAGTCCGATCGCTCAAAGCAGGCTTTGTCTGACATTATCGAGGCCGAGCCTAAGTTCATCACTAATTGAAGTATTTATTACTTTGTTTATATAGAGGTTAAAAATAAGTTAATGTAAAGGTTGGTCATTGCCCGACTTCCCAAAAGAAGGAGGTACTCAATTCGTCTGTATGGTTATTTTTATGTATGTTACGGCATAACTCCGCCACTAGTGAACCGATTTTGATAATTCTTTTTTTATCCCAAAGGTAATGCTTGCAGGTGGGTCCTATTTTTTTGTTTGATTTTTGGAGTCAAAGACTACGACGTAGTTAAATAGTTTAGCTCAAAATCGCGCGACGAAATTTAGGGTCATTTCGTGTTGAAATAATAGTCAAATTTTGTGAAATTTTCAACAGGGATTTCTTTGCAACCTATGGCACATAGAATGGTACATACTACATATACACTGGTACAGTAATTTTCAAGTACAAATTGATCCACAACCATTTATTTTTAACGAGCTATTGCCCGCGACTTCGTCCATGCAATCTTACTAATATTATAAATGCAAAAGTTTAGATGGATGTTTGTTAAGGTTTGTAACCTAAACACATGAACGGATCTCGTTTAAATTTGGCATAGTCGTAGAGGTTAGTTTGGAAGAACATAAGGGCTATTCACTTTTGGTTTATTTAGTGCCACGCGCACGGAGTCGAGGGCGAAAGCTGGTATTCTATTTTTTAAATGCGATTTTCGTTATCAGCACCGCAAATACATAATCTTCCCGAAATCTGGAATTTTTCTTTTCATATTAAAGACACATCAATTTTATTATTCGTATAGATTCAATTCAACATTTCATGTACGCATAGTGAACATTCAAGTCGTTCGCGTATTGAAATCACGTTTCACACTCGTACGGCTTCTGAAGCTCAGGTACACGCACACACTACGTGTTTAAATTAACTAAATCTAGATCGATCTGGACGAAAACTTAATCTACAATAAATAAAGACAGGGATATAATGATTTATCATTGTATTCAATTTATTTACTGTGTCGGCATGTACTATAGTTGGATTGTATTGATTAGGTGGGATTGCAAGACAGTCATATTTGGACTTTTGTGATCATGTATCAATTTATGGCAATAACTAGCTTTCGCCCGCGACTCGACGCGAATTAAAAAAAACAAAAGTGTATAGCCTATTTGTTCTTCCAGACTATCCGCTACATCTGTACCAAATTTCATCGAAGTCCGTTAAGCCATTAAGGCTACAAACTCTAACAGACATCCATCTAAACTTTCGCATTTATAATATTACTAGCTTTCGCCAGCGACTCCGTCCGCGTTGAATTAAAAAAAAACAAAAGTGAGTAGCCTATGTGTTCTTCCAGACTATGCTCTACATCTATGTCAAATTTCATCCAAAACCGTTCAGCCGTTTATGCTACAAACTCTAACAAACATCCATCCATCCATCTAAACTTTCGCATTTATAATATTAGTATGAAGTATAATTTATGGCAATAACGGTCATCCCTTTACTAAATTTCGCATTATACTATTACTTTGTACGTCTCGCTACACCTCACTAGTCCGATAAGTCATACAGGGTGGTTTTATTTTCTGTCTTTTCAATAAATGTAAGGTTTTTCAACTTCTGTTAAACAAGTTCAATACTGGCGCAAAACGTGTTAATTTTATAGGATTCTCTGTGATTTTTAACATCACATGTCATTGAGTATAACGTATGTATAATAATAAAAAACGCACTAAATAACTTGCTAGTTATTGATCAGTCACGAATATTACATAGTAAGAGCTGTTGCACACAAAAGCAAAAGCGAAACGAAGCAGACACAATATAGCTTTCGCGGCTGTGTTACAGGCGTAAGTTTTACAAAGTTTACTGCACAATAACATGCTAAATTTTGTAATCATAATAATTCCTACAGTGTAATAAGAGCTAAAATTAAAAATAAAAAATAAAAGGAAACAAATGAAACTCGAAAAATAGAACGGCGTAAAAATGAACAATGTAATTATTTTTTTTGAATCCATTTACCAAAACATTCTAATGTCTTTTATTTTAAAAAATATAAACTGTCATATAAGGGTTGTTAAGTCTCGAGGAAAAAAATCATTAAATGAATATGTGGAGGTAAATCCATGATCCGTGAATACCAAATGAAAATGTAAATTAGCTTAAATATATCCTGTGGTTATCATCAACCACAAAATGTGTCAAAAGTAATAAAGGATACACTTACAACGTCCTGTGAAAAAAACTTACAGTACAAAATTATCACGTATACAAAAAAAATGTTAACAAAAAAGTTCGAAATCTATAATTTTTTTATCAAAAAAAAAAAGAAAAAAAAACATAAAATATTCTGTTATATGCATACTTATACAGAGTAATAGTAATTGAATTAATAGGATTTCACTGATGGTAAAAACGAAAAAAGAATCATGTCGCTTATTCTTAAAAAAAAACATTTGAAAAGCTTTAAATGATAGTGCGTGAAGTATAGTGCGTGCATATTAAAAATGTACATTTACCTGTTCCTCACTTAAATAGAACTGTAAAGAAAACACACACAACAATGTTAGCAAGCGCATACAGTCACACACAAACAAGACTTGAGACACACTACAGCAAAAGTGACAATTTATAAAAAAATTGCCCAAAAAAGTGTAGTGTGTCTCTAGCCTTATAAACATCGAAATGCACAATATTAATCTAAAACAATTTAATACTTCTAGATATCAAAATTAGCACATCAAATAATTAACTCTACAAAAATAAAAGGGGCCTTAATTGGCAGTTAATGTCTATTAGTGCATAAAATACTTCTAAAGTGTGTTATTCTTTTGCATATAAAACTTATTTTTAGAACATAAAATAGACTTACATTTCAGAAATGGTTTAAAAGTAAATAAAAAAAAAACTTAAACACTGCGTCAAACGGAATCTTCCACCTATACAGTTTCGTTTTGCAATTTAACGGGGGATTTTAAACACAGCCATGTTTTAATAACTAAATACTTTTATATTTAAACATAACAATTTATTTGCAACGAAACATTTTTATTATTAATAATATGTAAAGTGAATACTTTGCCTTTAAAATTCATGTGAAAAGAAAAAATAATCAAAAAAATGCCACTTTTGTCGAGTGGCAAAAGTGACATTTTTTAAATTTCCTTGTATAAATTACAACGCAGTTCGGAGTTACGAGATTGTTTCCTGTTTACATAAATACATATAATATATAGTTGTTTTTGCGTAATGCAAGGATATTCGTTACATAATATCGAATTTAAAAAAAAACTTCTTGGGGTTTGCAATAATTAACTATCAATTTTTCTTTTTTACTACATTGTAAGAAAAAAAGTTTAAAAAATTCAATTTTCGACAAAAAAAACTCATTTTTATTTATATATTTATAGAAAGGTTTTTATTAACATTTTTATAGTATCCGCATGATATTAAATAAAAAAAATACCATTTTATTACAACTCCACGTTTAATATACAAAATTTATAATTACGTCATAAACATTATTAGTTCTAAGTATAACATAGACTTTAGTTATCATTATTTCGTAGACAGAACAATCATAAATTGTCACGTTATTTTAATAAACACGGCTTTTATACATTCTGCAAGATTATTATTTAAAGCAAAATCATTCATCAAATACGTTAATTTTGAAATTATCTTTACAGATACCAAAAATAAACAAGATCTTATACAGCTTCGATTGGCCCAATGGCAAAAAATCCCATAAAACAGATTGAACATCAGCCCAACGGGAAACACCCATCTTAGTGTTGTATTTGAAGGGTGATTAATCATGTGTTTACATTTTAAAATTGAAAGACTTTATTTGCCAAAAAAATATTTTTTTCAACTGCGAAAATTTTCAATTTGACGATTTTTTTTAAACAATTACGATTTCTTTTTGATAAAATATTAGACGAATTCCTGACAAAGTCGACATAGATAAGATAAAAAAATATTGCCAAATGATGACTTTTTAAGCTGCTAGGGTACCAAGTATAGCGATATCCAAACTTTATTGACGCTCGCAATTTCGATGAGATTCCGCATTCAATTTTAAGTATTTACGGGACATACAAAGAGACAAATGGCGATTGGTTCACGCGCTTTTCTCCATTAAAACCTATCCCTTTATAAGTAACTCTTAACACTTAAGACTAGGTCTTAAAGAAAAGGGCGTACTCCTCTTAAAAACCTGTAAAACATTAGCAGTTAACTTTCTCTTACATAAAAAAAGTACAGATGGCTTGATAAACTGCTTTTGTGAACTTTAAAAAAGATAATGTAACATGGCTAAATAGGAGCCTTACTTAAGTTTGAATCTTATTATATTTGATAGCAAACCTGACTTCCCCGTTGTTATCTACTGTTATCCGTCGCCGATAAACTTACTATTGTTAATTACAGCTAAAGTGTTATTATTTAACATATAACAATCTCTACATGTAATGCGTTTTAAGGAATTTTTAACATAATTTACTTTGATATTCTCAATTGTTACTACAGTAGAACTTCGATAAGTTAAAGTCCAAGGTAAACACAAAATACTTTAAGTTATAGAGGTTTTAAGTTATCAAGGGTCTATGTTATATAGGTTTTGGGCTCTGATGGGAAGGGAACATATTATTTTTTGAAGTTATAGAGGTTTTTAAGTTATCGAGGTTCTACTGTATATTATATGTGTTGTTATAAAGATTTGACATCCTATATTAGATTCGTTCTTTCTTGCATTATCTAAAATTTATCATACATACCTGCTTATGTCTAATTTTCGATGAAGCCTGATATGCCGCTTCTAGTTTCGGATTATTTGGTGCTCTTTTTGATCTTGTATTCTTAATACCTAATGACTTGCCGAACGGTGCAAACCAATATCTAGAAAAAATAAAAAATAACAATTGTGCTGTATATAAAATAATTACATATGTTTTATTCAAATTTTAAAATTAAACAAACTGACTGAATTTAATTGTAACTTATTCTCATACCTAATCTAAAATAAGGGAAATCTTTAGTATGTATTTTGAATTTTAATTTTTTTTTTCTATGTTATAATTAATATTATAGCTACAGTTACAATATTAAGAAATTACAAAACCACTGATGTAAACTATAAAAATCAAGTCACTAATCAATGAATACGACATTTACATAATTACTTATAAGAATTAATAGCGTCTCTTCTTTTTTATTGAATTATAAAATATATACAAAGATTTTTCGGTAATAATTTCCAATGTGTCGCGTATTCTAAAGATTTTGCGATTATTTACAAATCGATTTTGTAATAGAATATACGTACAGGAAGCATGCGTGGTCTTATCAGTATATCACATAGATAAAACACATTGAATCACTGAACGAGAAATAAGGGGAGCATCGAGTCATTGGCACACATTTTTACTTATAAAAACCACTCAACTGTAATACTTACTTTTCTAACATATGTCGTATAATTATAAGTACCAATGCCAAAGGTATGGGATAAAGAAGATGTGTGTGATCATTTAAAACTACGGGTTTATCGGGCCCTGGAGCCAAATCATCCCAAGTAGTATTCGGCGGCAGCCAAATATCTTCGTCCCAAAATTTATCTAATAAATATCGCAACATTGTAATTTAATGTTTTTAAACACTATTTTATTAACACTGTATTGTTACTAGTTTTCACGATTAATTTTAATGAAAATAAATATTAAATCGCTTGGTAAATATTCTTAACCAACCGATGCAGTCGAACGAAACGTCAAACTGATTGAGCGACAGCAGAGATTTCACATTTCAGTTTTTTTCAGTTTTTCAGTTTGATTGTTGAATACCAACATAAAAAATATGTAATGTGGTAATACATTGCGTGTTTTGGTTCATTTCAAAGAAATTTAAAATTGATATAAAAGCAATATTTTCCAATTTCTTGGTACAGGATTTATAATCATGTGGAGTTTTAAATTGTATTTATAAAAAGTAGACTTACATTATTACACTTTCAATTAAACCTTTGAGGAGTCGAATGAAATCGATTTTTCCGAAACAAACAAAACATCGATTTGGTCTCTCACTAATGAGCCTGACTTTGACATGCGAAATGACAGTGACATACGACACACGTGACATAGTGACATTAAAAACTCAACAATTTATGCATTTTAGTCTAAAACAAATATCAGCGTTATGTATTAAAGTGTACTGTGCATTTTTTAAACACAGCAAAACAGAGAGAAAACCTATGAATATTTATTGAGATAATGCTATTCTGCCCAACGTGCGCCAACATCCTTATTGTGGAAGAGCGACCCGAGAGAGGTTTACGTTACGCATGTAACACGTGCCCTTATGTTTATGATATTAAGAAAAAAGTGTCTTATAGAACATTCCCTAAATTAAAGGTAAACAACACAAAAATGTTACGTCATATTTTATCATCATCCGTAATTAAAATATTTCACTTATTACAACATAAACGTGACTTACTAATTGAGTTTTATTTAATGTATAGGAACTAGATTATATCATGGGCGGAGCTGCCGCTTGGGAGAACGTGGATTCTACTGACGCAGTTTGCCCCAAATGTGGACACGGTAGAGCGTACTTCATGCAACTTCAGACTCGTTCTGCTGATGAGCCCATGACCACATTCTACCGTTGCTGCAACCACGAGTGTGCCCACAACTGGCGTGATTAAACTCCAGTATAGCTAATAAAGTGTTTACTGAGCATGTTTTGTTCTAAAAGACTAAAGTTTATTAGTTGTTTCATGGTTAGACATAAAACAGCATCAGCAAAAATGAAGATTGATAAAATGGCGGAGGTTATAAAATGTTCGGAAGAAAAGGCTTATTCAAAAGCTGCACAATTCCTAGAGGATGGTCAAGTAATCGCTGTACCAACGGATACAATTTATGGGTTAGCTTGCAGCGCCAATTGTCCACAGGCAATCAAAAAGTTATATGCTATAAAGGGAAGAGATTCTGCAAAGCCAGTTGCGATCTGTGTAACCTATGTTGAAGATTTACGTAAATGGGGCAAATCGGAGCACCTGTCTGATGATCTACTACACACATTACTTCCTGGACCAGTAACAGTTGTTCTTGAAAAAACAAGACATCTCAACAATCCATTCTTGAACCCAAAAACAAGTAAAATTGGTATCAGAATACCGCAATATTTGTTTATAAATAAAGTAACCAAAATATTTGACAAACCGATTGCTTTGACTAGTGCCAACTTTAGTAATGAACCATCTACATTATCTGTGAAAGAATTTGAACATTTGTATGGACATTTAGGAGCAGTATTTGATGGAGGTGTGTTAAGTGAAGGTTTAGAACAGAATAGAACGGGATCCACAGTTGTTGATTTGTCCAATGTAGGCTCATATACAATCATAAGGAAAGGTATTTCATATGATAAAATTGTTACAATTTTAGAAGACCATGGGTTACACAGTATTGGATAATTTATTTATTTTATGTATAATAAAGATATTGTTACTTTATATCACAAATTTTACTATATGCACCCTTAAAATCAAGAAAATAACACATTTAAAAATCACTGCACATAAAAATTAAGAAAATTGATAATGTGAAAAAAGTAAACAAATGACAGTTTTACAAGTTTTTATATTTCTTATTTACAAGTATATTAATTCACTATGTTATACCACATATAAATTAAATAAATAGTTGCAATACCCAGCTCCATAAAAAAGTTAACCAAAAAAAGATAGCTGTTCCAGTGATGTAAAAATAAGATACAATAAAAAAAAAAGATTTATATACTTAAACTGAGGGGTTTTCTAGATTCGGGCAGTTTGTTTTCAAGCTTCTGCCATCGCTCAGGAGGCCATACGATGCAAACAGCTTTGGCAGTAATAAGTCCCAGAGAGACTGGTCCAAAAGTGTTACTGTCGAGTGTGTGGCCTGTGTGATCACCTTCTACCCAGCAATGCCCTTCTGGAACTTTAACATACCGATTTTTGTAACCCATTGTGCTCACAACATCTCCTTGAAGTCCTACCACACGTTTTATTATCTTCTGCTTCGGATTTTTGGGAGAAGTTAAGGATATTACATCACCTCGTTCGATTTTATAGTCTCTGATGGACCATCGTGACAAAAAAACGTAATCAGTGTTAGTGGATTCTGGATTTAATGCTGGCTGCATAGAAATGCCTTCGACTTTTGCAACATATCCAACAGTATCTAAAAATGTTATACCGATAGGAATACCGAACAGAATTGATCGACAAACACTTTTGAACGACATTAAAGTAACTTAATAATTTTAAAGTCACACTATTTTACCCTCATACTCGACTTTCTTTGTTACTTTCTTATTTTGGACATACTGTACAGTTTTATTTTAAACTTGCCCTTTTTCCTTTTGGATCTTTGGTGGATGTTAAATGACAGTGACTAACGCTGACAGTTGACTTGTCAAACAAAAATCGCTATAATCTGTCAAAAGTGTAACAGATACATTGACCCACAAAATTCACTAGTCCTTTATTTATTTACGCATTACAACCGAAACTTCTATTTAACTTTAAAATCAGTTTAATGTAGGAAAACCGTTATCTACCATTTTAATCCAATTCGGTGTACAATATTTTTAACCTTTATAAGACGGATGGTTTTTGACAATATCGAATGCACAATCGAGAAATTAAGAATCGAGAATGCATGGTCGTAACTACTTACTATCATGTTGTAAAATGACAAATATAGGTAAAATGCAATGCTATTAATATTCTAAGATTTGAAGCTGGGTTAAAAATTTATAATACTCATGAGGTTTAATTCACGATTTATATAAATGAATCCTTAAGAACTCACAATGAATAATATAGATCTTTGATGTTTATAACTGTAATGTATATTTATGCTCATAAAAATAAAGTTAAAACGCATATCACCCTTAAATTACCAATCGTAATTAAACATACTTTTAGAATCGTTTCGATTTAAATCGATAACTGAATTCTCGTCTTGTCTCGCCTTTGTGAGGACGTCACTTAAAATTCCCAATGAATGACCATAGATTGTAGAAACTCAGATTGGATCTTTGCTTTATTACAAATACTCAAAAAGTGTTGATGCTTTCTGTAGTAAATCACAACCACCAACCAAACAGAAATTAAAGACATTTTTTATGTGTGTAGCAAGTACAATATAACATAAAATTAAGTCAACAAACAGGACTTTCAATCAGTTTGGACCCAAAAAACAATGTAGAAAGGATTGACGACAGATGGAAGTGTCCCGTGTTGAAGAAAAACTTACAACCTGCATAATCAGCTGTCAGTGAGCTAGATCATCTGTCTTTGTAAATATAAAACCTAAAAGAATCAAAACACATTCAGAATTCTCGCATGATGAAGTTAACAAGCACGGTACGATGTAAGTCCGACGCCGCTCCTGCCGAACTGTGATATAGACGCAGATATGGGATGATAACCTATCAAAGAAGCGAGAAGTTCGCTATGGCTGATCTTCCTTGAAGACCTTCAAGCCAAATTTGACCATCACAACATCAGTAAACATTAAAATATGTCCGGTGAGTTTCCTTTTACTGCCAAGATAGTGAGTCCTGTTAAGTGCAACGAGAAGCCTTGGGATCTATGGGTTAGTGAAATAGGACACCTGTCGCCGCGTCGTGACGATGACGCTGGAGTGTTCACGACGCCCGCG